TTCATTTCATTTCATTATATTTTACTTTATTTTGTTTCATTTCATTTCATTTTATTTAATTTCATTTCATTATATTTTACTTTGTTTCATTTCATTTCATTTCATTTCATTTCATTTCATTTCATTAAATTTTACTTTATTTTGTTTCATTTCATTTCATTATATTTTACTTCATTTCGTTTCATTTCATTTCATTTCATTTCATTTCATTTCATTTCATTTCATTTCATTATATTTTACTTCGTTTCGTTTCGTTTCATCTCATTTTATTTCATTTCATTTCATTATTTCATTTCATTATATTTTACTTCGTTTTGTTTCATTTCATTTTATTTTATTTCATTTCGTTTCATTTCATTTCATTATATTTTACTTCATTTCGTTTCATTTTATTTCATTTCATTTCATTATATTTTACTTTGTTTCATTTCATTTCATTTCATTTCATTATATTTTATTTCACTTCATTTCGTTTCATTTCATTTCATTATATTTTACTTCATTTCATTTCATTTCATTTCATTATATTTTACTTTGTTTCGTTTCATTTTATTTCATTTCATTTCATTATATTTTACTTCATTTTATTTCGTTTCATTTCATTATATTTTACTTCGTTTCGTTTCATTTCATTTCATTATATTTTACTTCGTTTATTTCACTTCACTTTGTTTCATTTCACTTTACTTCATTCCACTTCATTTCATTTTACTTCATTTCATTTCGTTATATTTTACTTCATTTCATTTTATTTCATTTCGTGATATTTTGCTTTGTTTCATTTCATTTCACTTCATTTCATTTCATTTTAATTTTTTATTTCACTTCATTTCACTTCGCCTCATTTCACTTCATTAATTTATATATAATAATAATAATATATAATTTTATATAATATATGATAACAATATACTATATTATGATAATGTACATTATATAAAAATAATGAAATTCAAGAAATATATTTTCATATATAAATAATAAAATAAATAAAATAATAATAATAATAATAAATATATATAAAAATATATTTAAAATTCGCTTATGCTACAATTTATATTTTATTATATTATAATGACAATACTTCATCTGGATCTATTTTGTCTCGAATAATTTTTATAATTAGTATCAATAAATAACATAAAAATATATTTTTATGTAATTTATATATTCTTATATAAACGTTCTTTTCTTTATATAAGAATAATAATGCAGTTTAATTAATGAATAAATAAAGGCAAGGCAGAGTTCGTGCAATTTTCAAACAATTATCTATGATGCATAAGAAAACAAACGCCTGATTAAGTACCTATGATTCATAACGACGTAAAAATTAACATGCAATGCATCTATAACGTGCATTAATTACGCCAATACGTTAATAAATACCGACCCATTAATATAGCAATTAATTAATACGTTTACATCACGTATACAATTCATTTAAATGAAAAATAGTGCCCTCACATCCCACGTAATTAGACACATTCACACGGGTTTAACGCAACTTAGAGCTCTTGCATCCGAAGCATTCTTAATTGCTGCTCTAATTAAGGCTATTCTCATTAAGTAGCTCTTTAAAATCATGTGCATTTTCTACGCAATGACATTTTTTCATGCTTTCTCAACCCACAAACCTGGCGAGCAATAAAGGAGGTCAGCAGATAAGCGCCGTCCTCGTAGGCGTCTGGTGGAGAAGAAAACCATACATCCAGCTCAATTAATTAGCTCTTAACTAATTAGACAACTTGTATACACACAGGTGGATATTCATTAAAAACGAACAATTTTGGGGGGTTATTTAGGGTAATGCAATGCAGACGTAGGGGATAAGAGATGCTTAATGATCTCTGTGGTGATTTTATTAATTACCCCTTGCTATCTTAAGTATCTCCTATTAATTCTTGAATATCTTTATTAATAATAATAATTCTTAAATACCTTAGTTCTTACATATATCTTCTTTTATCTTAAATATGTCTTATCCGAATTAATTAATATCAAGGAAATCTTCTGAACTGTTTATGCTTTCTATTGTTTGAGAAGAAATCTAATTAATTGTCCCATAGCGGAATTTATTAATCAACTCTGATCTGAATATCTGTAATTATGTATTCAATGCCTCTTGTATTTATTAATATTGAGGAAATTAGTCAAATTTTCCCGTTCTCTGTGAGTCCTGCAAGTTTGAAAGGAAATCGAATTCTCTCTTATTTAAGTGCATTAATTATCTCTTACTCATTACATACCTCTTATCGGATATTTCTTATTGTTTATTAATTATCTCTTAGTTTTTTCTTTAAAATCTCTCATCTGAATTCATTAATTATTATCAACGTTATCATTTATTAAGTGTACCTTACATTTAATAACATTGAGGACGTTACTTAATACTTTTCCCATCAGTTTGACCTTATTACGCCATACCTGCATTTATTAACTCTTATTATTTATTATCAATTAAGCATCTCTTCTCTGAATTCATCAATACCGAGGAAATGAATCAAATCTTCCCACTTCCACTCCCTCTAAATTCGAGAGCAAATCTAAATAAGCCTTACTAATTATCTCTCATTATTTCTTAAACATCTCCTATTTATAATTAATAAATTATATTAGTTTTATATTAGCAGACGTTCCAGCTTCAATCATGTTAAATTCACCAAATCTATCTATATATTTTTTTTTTACAGAAATGCTCCAATTTTGACCCATTTTTACCCCATTTTGACCCATTTTTACCCCATTTTGACCCATTTTTCACCCCATTTCGGCCCATTTTAAACATTTTCATCACAGATCAATTCAGATTTTTTTTTTCCCTTTCGCATCTCAAAAAATTTCACACGTTTTGCCAAATCCAAAATTATCACCGTCGTCGTCACCACCATCACTATTATTACAATCACTATTGTCATTATTACTACTTTTGGCTGGCAAATCACAGGGCTGCGGAAATAGAACTTTTTTTTCGGGGTGGGGGCCCCAAATTTGGGGGAATTTCCCCTAAAATCGCACCGATGCGCACGCCGTCGTCCCAGTAAAGCTGCCCCTCTGCCTCCTGGCTGTCGTTCAGAGCCACCAGAAGAGATAATGGGTTCTTTCGGCTGCCAAGAAAAAAAAACAAGGGGGGGAATTTCCCCCCCCCCAAATCCCATTTTTGCATTTCCCAAAAATTATATCAATTTTTTTATGCTAATAAATTGTGCCACGGTGACGGATGTCGCTTGCAACCCCGTGTGATTTCGTTTTAATGGCACTTCAGATGTCTGAATTTAATTGAGAGTAGGATGGATGGAGGAAAACAGAAAGAGAGGAAACTGCCCCGAAATTCAGATCGATTTCCTGAAATTCCCGCAAAATTGGAGGTGTTTGCAATGTGAAAAACCATCGATATTAATGAACATTTCATTCTGATTGTTTAAAAGTTTAAATTTGCTTGAGAGTGGAACAGAAGGAAGACAACAGAGAGGAAAGTGCCCCGAAATTCAGTTCAATATTCTGAAAATTCCACAAACTGGAGGTGTTTCCAATGTGAAAACACATCGATATTGGTAAAAATCTCATTCTAATTGTTTTTAATCCAATTTAACAAATTTGATTGAGAGTGGAACAGGAGGAAGACAACAAAAAGAAGAAAGTGCCCCAAAATTCAGATCTGTATTCTGAAAATCCCACAAAACTGGAGGTGTTTGCAATGTGAAGACACGCATTTAACTTTAACTGAGAGTGGAACAGAAGGCAGACAACAGAAAGAGCAGAAACTGCCCCAAAATTCAGAACAATTTTCTGAAAATCCCACAAATTGGAGGTGTTTCCAATGTGAAAACACATCGATATTAATAAAAATTTCATTCTGATTGCTTTTAATGTAATTTAATAAATTTGATTGAGAGTGGAACAGGAGGAAGACAACAAAAAGAGAGGAAACTGCCCAGAAATTCAGATCAGATTTCTGAAAATCCCACAAATTGGAGGTGTTTGCAATGTGAAAACACATCGATATTAGTGAAAATCTCATTCTGATTGCTTTTAATGCAATTTAATAAATTTGATTGAGAGTCGAACAGGAGGAAAACAACAGAAAGAGCAGAAACTGCCCCAAAATTCAGACCTGTATTCTGAAAATCCCACAAAACTGGAGGTATTTTCAATGTGAAGACACACATTTAACTTTAACTGAGAGTGGAATAGAAGGCAAATACCAAAAAGAGCGGAAACTGCCCCAAAATTCAGTTCAATATTCTGAAAATCCCACAAATTGGAGGTGTTTCCAATGTGAAAACACATCGATATTAGTAAAAATCTCATTCTGATTGCTTTTAATGCAATTTAACAAATTTGATTGAGAGTGGAACAGACGGCAGACAACAAAAAGAGCAGAAACTGCCCCAAAATTCAGACCTGTATTCTGAAAATCCCACAAAACTGGAGGTGTTTGTAATGTGAAGACACGCATTTAACTTTAACTGAGAGTGGAACAGAAGGAAGACAACAGAAAGAGCAGAAACTGCCCCAAAGTTCTGTTCAATATTCTGAAAATCCCACAAACTGGAGGTGTTTCCAATGTGAAAACACATCGATATTAGTAAAAATCTCATTCTAATTGTTTTTAATGCAATTTAATAAATTTGATAGAGAGTGGAACAGGAGGAAGACAACAAAAAGAGAGGAAACTGCCCCAAAATTCAGATCAGTATTCTGAAAATCCCACAAATTGGAGGTGTTTCCAACATGGAAATTGATGTTTTTTTGTGAAAATTTGAAGGCAAAAGAAATTCATTTCAAAAGAAAATGAATTCCCAGCCTCAGTAATCTGAAATCTATTCACTGCTGGGTTAAACACTGACCAAAAAAGGTCAGAAATTTGAGTGTAATTTGAAAGGAATTGGTCAATTCCTGTTCCTACCTGTAGGCTGTGGTGTTGGCGGGGGTCTGTTGGGGGAGGATGAAACCGCCGCGGACGTGGAGGTTGATGTGCTCCAAAGGAGAGGGCAGATTTCGGAATTCTCCCCGGAATCCGACATATTCTCCCTATTTTGGGGGGGGGGAAAATTAGAAATGATGTCATAAATTCCATAAATTTGATGAAATATTCAAAGATTTGGCACCGCCCGTTGTTTGAATGCAGAAATGCGCCGCGTTTTCAAAACAAGATCAGGAATTTGGATGAAAGAATCATGAAGTTATGAACTGACACCTAAAGCCGACACGTTCATCCTATTTATGGAGAAAAATGCACAAATTCTATACATTATTTCATAAATTATGTGAATTTTAGGAAATATTAAGAAAGTCAGCGCTTTGCCCATCTTTAAAATTGGGAAATACTCTGTATTTTCAGAACTGTAGATGCAACAACTATATATGTTTCAATTGTTGGTATTTTCATCCTATTTATGGGGGGAAAAAGAAACAAATTATACAAATTATTTTGTGGATTATATGAATTTTTGTGAAATATGTTGGCATTGCCTGTCCTTAAGTGCTGAAATGGCTCTGTATTTTCAAAACTAGACCTGAAATTCTCATAAAAACGGGGAAAATTCTGAATTTTCCCCTAAAATTCACATTGTTTATGGGGGAGGAGATTATGTATTATTTTACAGATCACATGAATTTTATAAAATATCAAGAAAGTTGGGGCTGCCCCTTTTCTATATGTGGAAATGACTCTGTGTTTTGCAGATGAGGCCTGAAATTCTCAAAAAAAAAAGGATTAAATTGTGAATTCTCACTCAAAACCAACGCGCTCACCTCATTTCTGGGGAAGAAAAACTATCAGTGATTTAACAAATCATGCAAATTTGTTGAAATATTAATAATGTTCTCACTGCCCACATGCTGCATTCAGAAACAGCTCCGTGCTTTCGCGACAACACCCGAAATTTTCACAAATCTGCAAAATCTGTCATTTGAAGGGCTGCATTCACACTGAGCTCTTCTCTGAAGACATCAGGGAAACACAGATTCAATCTAGGAGGGATTTTTAATTACTTACTGTGTGATAATCATACCAGCGGGCATTCGGGAGGTAGGCATTCACCGACACAGCGCCCTGCAATTAAACATTTTGGCTTTAATGAAGGCCAAAATTGTAATTCTCCTGAAGTAACACCCAACCTTATCCTCAACATTAATTTCTAACATTTCCTTTTTTTTTTTTTCCCCTTCCCTCCTCAGATTTTCCCAATATTCTGTGCTTTTACCTGATCCAGCACGGGGCTGATGAGCAGCGCTGGGCCCCAGAGAAATTGCTTATATATTTCCCACGTCGTCCTGTCTTCCACAAACCTGGAATTCCAAAATATAAAGAGGGTTTTGAGGGATGATATTAACCATTCTTGCAAAGTATTTCCTCACTGAAGCTTTATTCTCCTTAAAAAAAACGCTTTTCCTCTTCCCTTAATAAGGGGAATAATGAACTGTTGCTTAGAAAGAGTTTAATTGATATTCAGTTTTAAATGGCATTTGTCGTGGCTATTCAAATCAAATTAATTTTATTTATTATATTATATGATTTATTATCAAATCAAATCAAATTTTTATTTAATTTCAATGAAATTCTAGTTCTAAGTTCTCTTTTTTTTTTTAATCCCTTAAATTAGTGACTGAAAATGAATCTCATTTGCTTTCAAATGGATGCTTGTCAGGAATAGAGCAAGATTCCAACGTAAGATTTGCTGAATTTAGGCATCTTTCAATCACAAAAATGGTAGATTTAAAATCCCATATTAGAATTTATTTCACATTTTTGGACAAATTCTGAAATCTCTAAAAATACAGACACACATCTATTTTTTTCTTTGCTATTTTTCTATTTTTTTCTATTTTTTCTATTTTTTCTACTTCTGTATTTTCTTCTATGTCTTCTATTTTTATCCTATATTTTCTCCTCTATATTTCTTCTATTTTTTTCTCCTATTTTTCTTTTCCTTTTTCTTCTATTTTTCTTCTATTTTGTTTTCCTATCTTTTCATCTGGTATTTTTCCTCTATTTTTCCTTCTACTTTTCCTTCCATTTTTGCTTCTATTTTTCCTCCATTTTTTCTACTTCTTTTTTCCTTCTATTTTATCTTCATTTTTTCTTTGTTTCTCTGTTTTCTCCTACCTTTTCTTTTTTTTTCCTGTTTTTTCTATTTTTTTTCTATTTTTTTTTTTAATGCAGAATCACTTTGCCCCATTTAGATTATTTCCCCCAAAATCCCATGATTTTTTTTTTTCTCAAAATTCCATATTTTTGGCTTCTCTCCTTATAATTTTTGAATGATTTGAATCCCAAATTTATATTTGAATCCCAAATCTATATTTCAATCCCAAATTTATACTGCAATCTCAAATTTATATTTGAATCCCAAATTCATATTTGAATCCCAAATTTATACTGCAATCCCAAACTCATCTTTGAATTCCAAATTTACACTGCAATCCCAAATTCATATTTGAATCCCAAATTCATATTAGAAACCTGGATCTATATTTCAATCCCAAACTCACCTTTGAATCCCAGATTTATACTGCAATCCCAAATTCATATTTGAATCCCAAATCTATACTGCAATCCCAAACTCACCTTTGAATCCCAAATTTATCCTGCAATCCCAAATCTATGTTTCTATCCCAAACTCACCTTTGAAACCCAAATTCATACTGCAATCCTAAACTCATCGTTGAATTCCAAATTTACACTGCAATCCCAAATTTATATTTGAATCCCAAATTCATATTTGAAGCCTGAATCAGTATTTCAATCCCAACTCACCTTTGAATCCCAACTTTATACTGCGACCCCAAATCTATATTTCAATCTCAAACTCACCTTTGAATCCCAAATTTATCCTGCAATCTCGAATTTATATTTGAATCCCAAATTCATATTTCAACCCCAAACTCACCTTTGAAACCCAAATTTATACTGCAATCCCAAACTCATCTTTGAATTCCAAATTTACACTGCAATCCCAAATTCGTATTTGAATCCCAAATTCATATTTGAAGCCCAAATCTATACTGCAATCCCAAACTCATCTTTGAATTCCAAATTTATACTCCAATCTCAAATTTATATTTGAATCCCAAATTCATATTTGAATCCCAGATCTATATTTCATTTCCAAACTCACCTTTGAATCCCAAATTTATACTGTGATCTCAAATTTATATTTGAATCCCAAATCTATATTACAATCCCAAACTCACCTTTGAATCCCAAATTTACACTGCAATCCCAAATTCGTATTTGAATCCCAAATTCATATTTGAATCCCAAATCTATTCTGCAATCCCAAACTCATCTTTGAGTTCCAAATTTACACTGCAATCCCAAATTCATATTTGAATCCCAAATTCATATTTGAAGCCTGAATCAGTATTTCAATCCCAACTCACCTTTGAATCCCA